CCTCAGCCTTCCAAGTAGCTGGAACTATAGGCGCGTGCTACCACACCCGGCTAATTTTTTTTTTTTTTAATTTATTGTAGAGATGAGGTCTCTCCAAGTTGCCCAGGCGGGTCACGAACTACTATCCTTTTAAATAGCGACACCAAGTATTCCTAGGAACACATGAAGCAGAGGAATCATTAACTGAAGTCATAGGAAATTGCTCTGAGGATCCTTTGAAGATGCTTGGGTATAAGACACAGGTTCCTCTGTTTTTCAAGAGGCGATGCACACAGTGTGGCTTTCCTGAGAGCATCGGGTACACACTCCTGCTTTTGCCTGTCTGTTAGTTCTTTCCTGTCATTTAGAGGATAAGATTGGATAGGACAGCCTGGACCAACAATCTAGCAGGCACTTTATTATCCTTTCTTATCCTGGAAATTATACTATATGTCAAAGGCATTCTTAATTTAAAAAAATGAAGAAAGGAGGAAAGAATTTGCAGGATGAAGATTATTTCCTTGACTTTTCCAAATAAATAGATTGCCAGTAATGAAGCTTCTTTATTTAATTTTTGGTGAATGGGAACTGTATATGATATACACACACAAAACTTGTTAGAGTAAAATAAAAATGTGACTGTAATAAGATTAAAAAGAATAGTATTAGGATAAGACTAATTTTTTCTTTTTCTGCTTTAAACAATCTTAGAAAAAAGGAGCGTACTTAAGATTCTTAAGAGAAATCAAATTAAAAATTTTAATTTATTTGAATATTTAAAATAATATTGTCACAAATTAAATACGCCAATGATTTTAGCTATACATGTTTTTTAAAATGTATCTATAAATATGTTTAATATAATATGCAATAATATATGTTTTGTAATTTAGAAGAAATGTATAAGGAAATTTAATTATTTGGTTTTTAAGTCAATTTCAAATAGATTTAAAGTTCATTTATGTATTGAATTAAAAGGGTTTGGAGTTGTTTTTTTTTCATGTCTGACATGATGAAGAGGTTAATCAATGATAGTTTCTTCTTTATTTATTCATTTAGAGGGCAACATTCAGCCAAATGAGAATTTGAACAGGAAAAAGATGTGTAGCAAGCCAGTGATTACTGTGTGATAACATAGGTTATCAGTACTTGGTTTGACTTGAATTTACATGAGATGATAGAATGTATTTCTTAGCATAAAAATCTCCTACTTTAATATTACTTTAATTTGTAGCCATTCACCTCATTTTTTAAAAGCAGCACAGAATCAAGGCTCTAAATAGTCTGTTTTGTTTGTAAAGAGATTGCAATAACTTGCAGTATTTATCAATTGATAAAGCTTTCAAAATTTAAAATAAAATATGAACAGACTTGGAGCTTTGACTCTTAAATTGAGCCAACTTTCAAAAGAAACTTGTCAATTTGTGAAGGTTTTCCTTTTACATAAGTTTTTCTTATAGTCAAATAAATGTTTAATAAATGAAACACCACATTTTATAGTGCAGTGGCACTAAAAGGAGACTGTTTTCCAGCTGTGCAGTTTTTTCTTTTGTTCTTTTTCTTTTTCCAAGGCACAGTGCTTGGTGGGAGAGTTGTCTGGAGGCAGGATGATCAGAAGCAGGAACTGGCCAGCTGTTTACTCATTTCAGTCTGTATTAAATCATCTGATATGCCCTTAGGAGGGTTGTGTCAATTGATCAATGGGTCAGAGTATTGATTTTATGTTTTCAAATTGCTAACAGAGGAGATTAAGCTTCCAGATACAAGCAGTTCCACAAGTCTGTTTTCAGACAGGCACATGAAGTAACCACACAGCTCACTGAGGTTAGAGTTCCATGCTGTGATGCAAGCCTCTCTGGTGTTTAAAAGCAGTTTGGATCTGTTGTGTATGACTAGGCTTGGTTAAAGTCAACTGACCTAGGTTCTAGCCTTGGCCCTTCTATGATCCAGCAGTGGATTAAATGATGAGGCTTACTTGATATCAGAATCTTGAAAAACAGATTAAATATGTTATAAAACATCACGATAATTGAAATACTATACATACTACTTGTATGTGTAATAATAATTTACCAAACAGAATTTCATACAGTGTAATCCTTTTTTCTTATAAAGGAAAATACCTCTCATACCCACAAAATCCCCAACAAACCCCACACACTGTGTATGTGTATTTAGTCTAAAAATTATATTTTTCTTTTGCCTAGGAAATATAGACTAATTTAAATACGATGTATTCAGATAGTGGAGATAACTTGCTGAGATATAAAGTCAAAGCTCTGTGTTTGGTGATTCCTGTAGGTTTCATTTATTTTTACTGTCTTTGCCCTCTGTATTTATTGGTAGTATTGAGTATTTATTTTCAGAACTATTCTAATGTATCTTTTTCTATGGGAAGAAATGAGTATTTGACCACAGGTGGTTTTTATTTTTTTAGTATGAGGCATATGGATTGACAGTCTTTGAAACTTTAATGCTATATAATATGCAGGTGCTTTTATTGTTTATAGAAATGCCTAATCTTGTTTGAAATTTATTAAATGGTGTGCCATCTGTAAGCCTCTTTGAATTCCACAAATTAATTAGCCTTTAAAGTAAGGTTGCTTTTTGTCTAACTTTTAGTATAAACCCTTCCATCTGGGAACCTTCTCTTTTATGTGCTTGTTCAATGTTCTGTGTACTTCAGCACTCTAGTATTAAGTATTAATTATGGGTACTGGCATTCTCAGTAACAATGGAGCTCACTAAAAATAAAAGTAGACTGAACAAAGTATCATTGTCCAGGGAATAGTTTGAAATTGGTGAATAATCAATCCATCATGGCTTTGCCACTGCTGTGTGTGTGTGTGTGTGTGTGTGTGTGTGTGTGTGTGTGTGTGTGTGTGTGTGTGTGTGTAGCATTACTTATGAGTGGGATAGTGATTCTGCAGGGACATTTTTACAAATTATGGTTGAATAAGATCATTCCTGTAAAATTTCAGTTAAAAAAGAAAAGCCTATCTTCAGTTAAAAAAGAAAAGCCTGTAAGATATATATAAGATGAATACATCTTATATAGCATTTCTTTTCTTGTGGGTTCTGATATAAAGGTTATTGACAATATTTGATCTCAGGAGATTGCTTGATTGGCTTTGGCACACTTCTGTTTGTAGGAAATGTAGTATCAATGTGGGAATTATATTGTTATTTTAATAGAGGTTAATATTATTAAATTTTATTTCCTGGTCTCAGTAAGAGTCATTGAATACCTCACAGCAGAATGTTTGTTTATTTATTTATTTATTTATTTATTTGAGTTGGAGTCTCACTCTGTCGCCCAGACTGGAGTGCAGTGGCCTCTTCCGACCATTGCAGCCTCGACCTGCTGGGCTCCGGTGATCCTTCTGCCTCAGCCTTCCAAGTAACTGGAACTACAGGCACGCGCTACCACGCCCGGCTGATTTTTTTTAAGTTTATTGTAGAGATGAGGTCTCGCCAAGTTTCCCAGGCGGGTCTCGAACCCGCGGGCTCAGGCAATCCACTCACCTCAGTCTCCCAAAGCGTGGGATTACAGGCTGATCCACCGAGCCCGGCTAGAATGTTTATTTTTTAATATATTGCAAAAATATATAGAAGCCAGTAAGTTAGCCATCTGGATACTCATGCTAATCAATTTAATATTATTATTTGGTGCTTTTTATAGACTTAATTTTGCTACCTCTCTCTCTGCCCCAAAGAAATTAGGGCTCTATAACTTAGTTTAAAATGCATAACAAAAATAATTTTGCTCAACAAGTTTTGATCATGGTGGATATTGTTGGCATTAACCTAAAAGGCAATATCAGATGTTTTTGCCTTTCAAGTTATACAGTCTACAGAGTTAACATTCTTGAAGCTGCTGAGATTATTAAAGTGTTGCAGTGTATCTTCTAAATTATAAGGGTATAAGATGTTCAGAGAGAAAAATAATCAGTGGGCTATTATAATTGGAGTTTGAAGGCAACTTAGTATTAGATTAGTGGAGGAGATGGCATTCTAAATGGACACAAAGAGTATGAATAAATAAGCAAGTTAGATATGTGTGGAGATTATGGAGTAGCCTTAGATGACAAGATTGGAGGATGTGGCTTGAATAGTTATAGAGTTAGAGCAGAAGGTATGGTTAGGTAGTGGGTGGTTACGTTATGGAAGGCCCTAAAAGACAAGGTGGGCAGCAAGGATGCACAACTAGCTTGTTTCCTCAATGGAGCAGCAATGTAAAAATATCTTCTTGGGAAAAGTTATCTTAGAAATGGTAGGATGAGATGGAAGGCAATTAAAGTAGTTAGGACTCTCTTGCCATAGGAGTTAGCAAATACACTAGGATAGTGGCAAAGGGAATAGAGAGAAAGGAATAGCTGAGACACAGGAAGAAACTTGGCCATTAGCATATACTCAACACATACTCAATGTGTGAATGAGAGATTCAGAGAAAGAGTGAAAATAGGCAATAAATTAAAAATAATAGTTAATGTTCACTTCTTCCTTTATATCCTAAGAGACACTTACTATTGGTAAATGATGGATAAATTTTTTAAAAATCTAGGTAGAAGGAGATAATGAGTTCAGTTTGCATATTCCGAAATTGAAGTGGTGATGAACCTACAAGTAGAAGTGGTCTTATAAATAATTGGATATATGGTTCTGGAGCATAATCAATTCAGTTCCAAAAGTGTAGATTAAAGATGAATGTATATATACATATATACTTACTTAAAGGTACTTTCTGAGGAAGTTTCTAAAGAGAAAATTAGAAGATCAATAAATAAAACTTAGAAAACATCAGAAATTATGTAACATTTGAGTTTTAGAAATCCTTATTTAATCATTTGATGTTAACTTATTAATTTGAGCAGTATTTTTTAAAACTTGTTTTGAAACAACTGGTAACTTATATTTTGAAAAATACTTGTTTAAAAATAGTTCTAAAATCAGCATATTCTGATCTGTTTTTATCTGATTCTAAAATTAGAATATTCTGATTCTTTGTAATTTTTTTTTAGATTGCTGTGCTAAGGAGACAGCAACGTATGATAAAAAATAGAGAGTCTGCTTGTCAGTCCCGCAAGAAGAAGAAAGAATATATGCTGGGGCTAGAGGCCAGGTTAAAGGCTGCCCTTTCAGAGAATGAGCAACTGAAGAAAGAGAATGGATCATTGAAGCGGCAGCTGGATGAAGTTGTGTCAGAGGTAAGTGCTACTGACAGTGGTGGAATGAGATGGATTAAAGTATTTTTTCCCCAGATAATTAACATTGAGAAACTTTTACATTTTAAATTAAATTGTGTAAAACAGTAGTGCTAGGAAAAGAGTAAAACAAGTCCTAAAACATTTGCTATAAACATAAAACCTTTGAAAGAGGACCTTTTTAAATTAACTCTGTCTCTTTTTCTTGGGTTTCTCCACTCATTGCCTGAGCACCCTCTTTTCTGACTAAATCACATCGAGGCTCTTAGATAGCCCTGCCAGGTCTTTTTTTTTTTTAAACTTAAAACAATACAAAATGAAAATGTGTTTTTATCTTTTCTCAATCCACCTGATGACTATAATTATTATTATTTTACATTCTGTTGCTATACTGGTCCCAAAGTTAATCTCCTTGATTCTGTTCATAAAATCTACTGTTCAGAATTTCCTATTATAATGCTGTCCTGAATCACATAGAAGTCTAATGAGTGGGGCTTCTTTCTGCCTTGTCCCTGAGCACATGGGAATACTCTAGTCTGTTACTAAAAACAAAGATTTAAAAGATAGGGAGATAAACTCCAGAAGTGTCTCAAACAAAATATTAAATTGTTGAATTTTCTCCTTTTGAGTAAAAAGGCAGCTGCAACAGAGTGACCACTGTTGTCTCCCCTACTGACTCTCTCCTTTTCTGACTCTGCTAGAAATAGGAACTTGGAAGGCTCTGCTTTAATCTTTTGAAAAGTATAATTTTTTTCATCTTTGAGAGTTTTTTTTAAGTAAGAAAAGGTATTTATACAACTGGTAAAGAGGAGAATTCTTCTCTTAGGTGTTGCTTTCTGTGAGATTGGTGCATAGTTTAATTGTATTTAATGTGCTTATTTCCTTTAGAACCAGAGGCTTAAAGTCCCTAGTCCAAAGCGAAGAGTTGTCTGTGTGATGATAGTATTGGCATTTATAATACTGAACTATGGACCCATGATGTAAGTATAGATATTTGTTTGGATACTAATGCTAAAAATTTAAGTTGTCACTATTTGTTATTCCTTAGCTCTATTCATAAGCTAGGTCAAAACTGATTTGTTTTGAAAAAAAATCAGCATCCTAGACAGGCAATCAAAGAGTGATTAGGTGGGAGCCATGCCTTCAATGATCTCATGACCCAGCTGGAAGGAGAGACATGCAAAAGAATGACTACAGTGTAATGTGATGAATGAAATAGTAGTATGAACAAAGCACTAAAAATATGAGTTTCTTGAGGTGAAAGTTCATGTCTTAATGATGGTACTCAGTACATTTTTTGTTGAGTGACAAGTGGTAAGAGAATTCCCTACAGAGGAAGCTGAACCTTGAAGTGTGATAACAGTTTGTCATGTGGAAAGTATGAAACAGGAATGCCTGAGAGAGAGAATAGCATGTGTTTTCCCAGAACTGGTTTCTGCTTACTCCTTAGAAAATTCTTGGGTTTTTTTGGTTTTTAAATTTTTTTTATCTTATTTTAAAGATGTGAGGTACAATTCAGGATTAGATATACAAATGTTCATTGTGCAGGTACCTTTGTTGATGAGGTGTGCCCCTCCCTCCCCTGACAGTTTCCTTCATCTGCCAATCCCCCCTCCCCTGGCAGTTTTCCACTACTGCCAATCCCTTTCTTATCTTATGATAATTGTTCATGGTCCACTTATGAGTGAGAACCATATGTTCTTTGTTTCTGTGGTAGTTCACTGAGTATGATCGACTCTAAATCCATCCAAGTTGCTGTGAAGTCCATATATTTTTCCTTCTTTATGGTTGCATAATATTCCATTGTGTATATGTACCACATTTTTTTATCCAGTCCAGCTTTGATGGGCAGCATGGTTGGTTCCATGTTTTTGTTATTGTGAATGGAGCTGCAACAACCCTGTGTGTACAGGTATCTTTTTTTGTAGAATGATTTGCATTCCTCTGGGTATATTTGGAGATTCTTGTCAAAGGTTAATAGGGTTATACTGAGGCATGTTCGACCTCCCATCCCATCATGGCTGTAACTCAGTTTTTAATCTGAGGTCCCCTTGGCCAAGAGGGCGTTCATTCAGTTGGTTGGGAGGGGGGCCTTAAGATTTTATTTTTGTTTCACAGCAACATAATCATCCTTGCATATTAGGAAGATGACTTTGAGGGTTGTATTAAGAATGCACTGGACTGTGGAGAGACTGCTGGCAGATAAAGCATTAGGAAACTGTTGAGGTATTTCAGTTAAGAGATAAGTCTGAACTTAAATAGACTATGATTATGGAAAGGATGGGCAACCTCAAGGTTCATCTCTGATATAGACTTTATGGAATTTGTGGAAATTTATGGAATTTATGTGGGACATGAGGAAGAAAAGAGGGAAGTTAAGGATAATCTCAAAATTTCTATCTTGAAGAGCTGAATGGTGATGCTGTTATCTGAGGTAGCAAACACAGAGATGCATAGTTTTATGATGGAAGACAGTAGTTTTGTTTTTAGTATGGGAAGTTTGTGACACTGACTAGGTAGGAGAATTACCATCATAAATAGATAATAGTGTAGAGTAGATGAGGACAAGTAAAGGAAGGAAAGTAATAAGACTCTGGGGAACACTGACATGAACAGTAGATAGAATCGAAAAGAAACTCAGAGCAAATAGGATTAGGGACAGAACTGAAAGAAAGTGGTTTTTTTGATGCCAAGGTGTAAAGAGGAATTCAAGAGGAATTTGGTCAGTGATGTCACATGCTGCTGAGGGCTTGGGAGAGGTAGAAAGCTGAATTTGTCGATTAGCAGATCAATGGTAATCTTGGAAAGCAGATTTAGTAGGAATAGGAGTGAAGTCTATATTCAAGTTGTTTGAGAACTGAAAAGAATTATAAATGGTATAATTTTTTTTTATTAATGCAACTTTTGTTATGAAGATTTTCAAACATACAGAAAGCTAGAGAAAAGAGTGTAGTGAATGCCCTTATACTCATCAGGCAGCTTCAGTAATTTTCAGCAATTTGCCAGTTTTACTGAAAGAGTTAAGTAAGTATAGTCTATGGGTTATCCTTTAAGAACTTTCAGGGAAAGGGCAGGAAGAAAATGGAAAGATTAAGTTAGTTCTTTTTAGGATGTGGGAAACTTTTTCAGTGACATGTATTTCACACACTTGAAAATAATTATATTACCTGCCTTTATTTCTCTCTTTTTTTTTTTTTCCTGGTCCTTCCTCCAGGCTTAGCATTCTAATATCTATACCTATTTGTCATATGATTTTGTTTTCATATCCTCTCATTGCCCTAGTTCTCCTCTTCTGAACACTCATTCATTCACTTCCTTTAAACAGAACTGAAGTGTTCCAGGCTTATCACTTGTTGCTCTTTGTCAGTGTATGTGACAGAATGTGACAATAAGAGCTGAATGCATTTCCTCAGATGCATTCTGACCTACATAAAGTGCAGTGAAACTCTTACTTACTAAGAGCTCTTTTTTAAAAAGTGCAGCCGAAGATTGTGTTAAGAGCTATTAACTAAAATTCCCATGTCTTTTTCACAAGTTTGATAGCTAAGCTAGGTCACTCTCATTTTATTTCTGTATCATTGGTTTCTAAAAAAGAAACATTTGTGGCTAAAGCAAACCCTGAAAAAAATATAGATCTTATGTTTAACTTTTGTTATCATTTGGTATTAGAAAGACTCTCCAGAGCATTTGATATATCCTATTGTGGAATCCCAAAGACCTATCTGCCTTTTAATTAGTATTAAGACAATTTAGTGGAAGGAGGTCATAATTCTGAGTTGAGCTATTTTTGAATGTTCACACTATACTAGACATGTTACATAGACTATGGAGAAGAGATACCTGGAACAAATATTTGGAGTAGTTTTTTTTTTTTTTTTTTGAGTTGGAGTCTCACTCTGACATCCAGACTGGAGACTGGAGTGCAGTGGCACGATCCCGGCCACCGCAGCCTTGACCTGCTGGGCTCTGGCGATCCTTCCGCCTCAGCCTTCCAAGTAGCCAGAACTACAGGCATGCACTACCACACCCGGCTAATTTTTTTTATTTTATTGTAGAGATGAGGTCTCACCACGTTGCCCAGGCGGGTCTCGAACCCGCAGGCTCAGGCTGGAGTATTTTAATTTTTTATGTATTTATTTATTTATTTTTTGAGTCGGAGTCTCACTCTGTTGCCTAGGCTGGAGTACAGTGGCACACTCACGGCCACCACAGCCTCGATGCACTGGGTTCAGATGATCCTTCCTCTCAGCCTTCTAAGTACCTGGAACTACAGGCATGCGCCACCATGCCTGGCTTATTCTTTTTTTGATTTATTGTAGAGATGAGGTCTCGCCAAGTAGTCCAGACTGGTCTCGAATCTTTGGATTCAGGCAATCCTCTCACCTCCGCCTCCCAGAATGCTGGGATTATAGGCATGAGCCACCGTGCCCGGCCTGGGTTATTTTAAAAATTGTTTACTGCTTTCATCATTATATGTATACTGTTGACATTTTGTTCATATTCTTCGTATTAGAGTTCTTTTGACATTTTAGTTTTTGTGTTTGAAGAATGAGACTTATTCATGAAGGACTATCTCTTTTTTTTTTTTTCATTAATCAGTATTTTTTATTATGGTTTTGTGGGGTACAGTTAAGGGTTAGGTGTACAATGACGTTTCATTCAGGCACCCTGTAGATAAGAAGTGTTTTCCCATCCCCCGACAGATATTTGCTACTGTTAATCCCATCCCCCTCCCCCCCATAGTTTCCCAGTACCATCAGTCATTTTCTCATAGTATTGCATTGGATGTTCAAGGACCATTATATGAGTGAGAACATGTGATATTCGGATTTTTGTTTTTGTGAGAGGTCACTCAGTATTATAGACTCTAGTTCCATCCAGGTTGCAGCGAAATTCATGATTTTGTTCTTTTTTATGGCTGCATAGTATTCCATCATGTATATGTACCACATTTTTTAATCCAGTCCTCTTTTGATGGGCAGCATGGTTGTTTCCAGGTTCTTGCTATTCTG